TTGTTGTTTTGTTTTGAGGGCTTTTGGGGGGAAAAAACAATGAGAGAACTTGTAACATAAGTATGGGTTATGATTACTCAAAGTCTGTTCTTCCTAGAGTAGGGTAAGCTCTTCCAGCAAGGAAGGTGTTCTTAAGGATGAGGTCTTAATTCTGATCTCTTTACTTCCACCCCCTCCTCTGGCCCCCATGGATCCTTCCTTCCTTGCTGTCTGAGCTCCCTAGCTTCGTGGCTTCCTTTGTGTTGTTTCATTGCCCAAGTGCTATAGTACCAGGCTCACCTTGCTTTGTGTCAAGTCAGCTAAAGCTGAGTCTAATGTACAGTGGTCTCTATAGTGCACCTGTATCCTCTGTCACCCTTGTAAGCCAGATTCCTGTCTGGTGCCTGTGCTCAGGGGCAAGTATTAGGCTTCAAAGTCCTGTGATGAATTGCTTCTCAGCTGCCTAGCCACAGCCAGGGTCACACTTGGAGACTCTCAGGGATCTGCCCATAGTTGCCCTGACTCTGCTGTCTAGTTGCCATCTTATACTTCATGGCCATCATTAGTCTCACCATGAATTTGTGGTTTGACAGACTGCCAGTGACTGCCTTGGCCATGCATTTACTTTGTCAGGAGGGTGTTCACTATTATGATCCCAGTTAGGACCCAAGTAAATTGTTCCTAGGATAGGAAACAATAGACATACTTCATTTATGATCCATTCTAGCTTTTACTTTAGAATATTGCCTACCTGTCTAGCTGAAAGAATTTTAATTCCTACATATATTGAATGCCATGTTTTCTATCTCCAAAGCACTTTTTAAAGTCCCTTAATTTATGTTCTTTCCTCTGTTTATGTATCCAGTATGTATCTCTCTTCCTCCTCATCCACTGCACCTTCTTTCCTATTTTCTTCCCTTTTTCCTACCCCTACAGCACTCCGCCCCCACTAAACTGGGAGTCAGACTATCTAATCTAAAATATAGCACCACCATATTCACTATCTGATGTTAGATAAATCAACTCATCATTTTCATTGCTTATAAGATGAAATCTAAACTTGCTACCTTGCTAAAAGTGTAAGGTTTTGATGAGGCTAAAATGAGGAAGTCAATGTGTTTATTTGGTAATTATTTAGCCTTTAATATGTATTAAGCACTATACTAGGTTCTGGAATACATTCACAAAGAGAACAAATAGGGTTTCCCCCTCCCCAGTGCACTGACATGTTGGGAAAACAAATAGTAGATGAGCAAACAAAGTATGTGTTGCGAATTCTTGCAAGTCCTTCAATGTATTTTTTGAAGGAAGTGAGCATGATGCAATGATTGAGAACAACAGAGAAGGCAATTTAGGAAAGCTTCTTCAAGAAAGTGATATGAAGAAAATGACACTTGAGGTCATAATATTTGAAAGAAAGCCTACAATACACTGAACCATGAATGTACATTTTATGTGGTAAGATGTCACATCAAAGAATAGTAGCTCCTTCCAATCCTTATGCAACAGGGGAAATTACAATGCAATAAGTTCCTTTCATTTCTGGAGCTGTAACTTCACAATAATCCCTGTACTTTCTTGTGAGCTTCCATTTTGTCATCCACATCTCTGACTATTTCCTCTCTCCTGTTTCTCATGTGTGCTAGCCTAATGTAGGTATTGTCATCTGTCTGTCTGCTCTCAGCGGTCCTCTTCATTATGCCCACTCAAGTCTTCCCTGCCACTGTTCATGCTTCTGCTGTTATGACATGCTCTTAAATCGTTGATTTCCACTTCCAAGGCCTTGACTCATGTTTCAAAGTCTTTCCTGAAGTTTCCTAGACTGCCTTAGCTTTCTGCTCACCTATCTACACTTCATAATAGAAGTATCTTCTGATAGGCACCTCCATGAGGAATGAATATTTCCAAAGTAATCTGAATGGTATTTTCTGGCACAGTACCCAGCATATAGTGCTCTCAATAAATATTTATAGAAGAAATGAGCAAATGAATTAATTCTCTGAATATTACCCAGTCTATCTGTAGGATTATAGTTTTCCCCCTATAATTATATATGTGTGTATTTGTGTTTGTGTTTGTTTTTACTAAGTATTGAACCCAGGGGTACACAACCATGGAGCCATATCCCTAGCCCTTTTTCATATTTTATTTAAAGACAGGGTCTTACTGAGTTGCTAAGTGCCTCAGTAAGTTGCTAAGACGGGCTTTGAACTCATAATCCTCCTGCCTCAGCCTCGAGAGCCACTGGGATTATAGACATGCACTTCATGCCTGGTTATATATACAATATATAACATAATTTGTTATATTATTACAATATATATATATGAAATATATAATATAATTTATTTCTCACATGTTGAATGCATATAAACACCTTTTTTCATATTAAGATATTAAAATATTTTTTCCACAGAATTTTAAAGTTCTAAATCTGTTCTCTCCATATGCTATAAGTGTAGAACTTTGTCATTAATCCCAGAGACAACTACAGGCATTGACAGCATTTCTGAGTTCTTTGTACCTTGTCCAGAGCATAGTGATAATCACCCAGGATTTAGAATATGGATATTATTTTACTAATGACAGTAGCAGTCACTGAGAATCTAGTTATTTTGGTTTTTATTTTCAGGATCATAAATAATCAAATTATTTAGATTAAATAGCAGTTATCTAAGGAAAATATTTGTATTAAGGAACTTCTTGTGTTTTCAGAGTTAAGGAGCAACTAAAACAACATTTCTTTTGAAAAAAAATGTACATATAAGTCTGGCCACTTTGTGTGATCCTTTTAGTCATTAATGACAACAATAATTTAGTCACAAGCAACTTTTAGAGCTCTTTCAACAAAAAATGAAATACAGGTTGAATATCCCAAAAAATTCAAAATTCAGAATACTCCAAAATCTGAAATATTTTGAGCACCACTACAAACAGAAAATGCCACCCAATGCAAGCTCATGTGATGGGTCACAGTCAACTCAGGGGCACTAAAAATATTGTATAAGATGACCTTTCTAGGCTATGTGTATAAGGTATGTATAAAACATAAATGGATTTTCTATTTAACACTTGGGTCCCATCTGCAAGATGTAACTAATTCAGCATTCAAAAATCCAAAATCTGAAACACTTCTGGTCCTAAGCATTTCAGATAAGGATGCTCAACCTGTATTCACTGTTTAATAAATACAAAGTTATGTTTAGAATCATCATTGCCAACTTCTTTCAAGAATTGGATGTGTTACCAACTATTTCATTTTAAATAAATAAAAATCTTACATTGTATTCAATTAGAAGTAACTTTATCTTTTATCTATGGGCAGTCTCTGTTTACAGTTCTAAAATATTTAAATAATACCAAAAATTGGATAAATAATCCTTTGGGGTTCTGTTATTAGATTATATTCTGTAATTCAAGAAGTCCTACATAATTTACACTGTGAATTTTATTTAGACAATCCAAAATAGTTCAGAACTTATGATTGTATATTTTTTGCCCAGTAGGATATAACTATAAAGTAATGGCAAAGACTTTCAAACAAACATACTGAGAGTTACTACCCAGGAGGCACCCCACTTCCCCTACAGAGAAGTCACCTAGGAAAGCTGCACCTTGTTCCAGCAAAGACACCATGGCCTATCAGTGGTATGGCATGCCTCTCTGTGAAACTGCCTTGGAAAGGCTGAGAAATCATAAAGAGCAGCATAACATATTATTTTAAATATCCTGAGTGGTAGCTAAGATGAATTTGATTTTGGTGAGAAGTCATCTTAGGACAAAATGCCGTGAATGCAATTTAGAGTCAGAGTTGGATATAGAATAATGAGATGGGCTTTCTTGAATAACAAGTGAACTAACTGTTGAAATGGATTGTCAGACAGAGGAGGTCCAGAGCCCTGGACCTTGAAATCAATGTGCAAGCTCCCAAGGTAGCTACTATGAAGAATAATACTTATTAGGTAGGAAAAATAAAATCAATGTGTGTATGTTTGCAAAATAAGATCAGTTTTATTACTTTATAGACATACCTTGTAGATGAAAAAAATACTCCTATCATGGAACTCTTTATAAGCAAACTTCTGAATGTAAGTAGAATTTCTGTCTCATCCTTTCTAAGCCTATTAATAAAGCTAAATTTCTAATAATGACTTACTATTTTTTTAAAAAAAGTAATGTTTACCATTTTTGAAAGTGGATGCTTTGCAGTTGCTCTTCGCCTTTTTCAGATTAGCTTTGTTACCTCTGCTATCAATGTTTTATCTAGTGTATCCCTATCTGAGACTCTCAATGTACTTTCTCACTGTAAAATTATCATCAAGCTATTGAGCCAAAGTAGAAAATAACATATATGCTGAAGGATATTAATTGTTCCATATTGCTGTGAACTCTTTAGTTTCCATTAGTAATGATCAGATGCCTTTCTTTTTTTTCAAAGTGGAACCCTGTTATCATGGTAAATAAGAACGTCAATTAAGATAGAAGTATCAAATTAAAATTTTTATAAAACTTAATAGTATCAACTTTGGGGCCCCTATTTTTTTTTTTATTTTCTCTCATAAAAGCTTTAAAAAATACAGTTCAAACATGTTGCTCTAATGTAGAAATTCCAGGTAGACTCATTGGCCATGCATCAGAGGTGGAGCTGATATGTCCTGCTTGATTGGGACTTGTCCAAATTTATTCCACCACATTCCGTTTTCATCCAGGTCATCCAGACCCCCATTTATTCATCACTGAATTGAAATAATAAAACATAAGATGGAGCAAGGAAGGCAGAAAAAATTGTTATCCTTCTGCAAAGAGGCATATAAAAAGACAGCTAAATTGTGACATAATTTAAACTTCAAATTTGACAAGTTTGATTGGAAAATTATGTGACCTAAGTTGTTAGGAATCAAAATGGTCACCAGTTTATAGCTATAAAAAAGTCATAGAGTGGTGTTTTTACCACAGATTGATAGAATATTATTTTATTCTACCTAATAGTAACTATTGCCCAAATGACTATTGTTTTGCAGTTTGGTGATTTGAATGCTGTATCTCCTGGAAATCTGGATAAAGGTAAGAATTGAAAACAATGTACATTTTTAAGTAATTGTTTTTCTTGTAAAAAAAACCCACAAAGAAGAAAGCATATATGTCTACTGCTCTCTGAAATTGTAGAAATAGCATACAAGTCCCAGATGAACATGACAAGTCATGTCTTTTGGAATCTTTCATTATTTCACCATTTCACTCCATCCTATGTCTTCATTATGTGAGGTATAATATATACATAAAATGGAATTTAAATGCAGTTTCAAACTTCTTTTTAAACATTCTTTGACTTATATTAATAACAAGTAATAGGAAATTATTTTTTACCATGGCCAGGATCCTAGATAAAAATTATAAATTTTGATCAGGCATTTTTATTCAAGGCCCATCAAGCAAGAAGAAATATTCCCTTGACCTATTCACCTTATTGGTTCAACTTTTCAGTGGTAAAAAAAAAGACTCTGGTAGCAATGTGAAAACAAGCTCATTGTGGTACAGATGAAGAAGGTAACATACTCACATGTATACATTAGACTATATATCAGAGTATATTTTAATATCTTGGAGCTATTTTATAGCAACATTGCTACTCCAGGGTATACTATAGTGTGTGTGTGTGTGTGTGTATAATGTCATAGATTCCTGAATAATCTCATAATCAACAAAACCACTCATGAAAGAACAGGGAAAGCTTAGAGGGATTTTGGGTTAAGATAGAACACAAAAATCCTACCCAACTTTATAAGCCAAACAAAAACAAGAATAATTCTGATAAAAAACAGTACAGTACCATTTTTTAAAACATATACATTTTCTTATAAGCAAATACTACAGTAAAATATAGCTCTTTCTTTAAAAGTGAGTGGGTATCTTAAGTGTAGGGAATTGTTATGGTTATTGACTTCTGAAGACAAGAACAAAATGCACAAAGACTGGGGACAATGATACAATTAGAACTTTCAGGCCACAGGGGAAACTGAGGGAAGAGGATTCAAGGAGTCTGCAAAGAACTGCAACCTGATCTCTAGATCATGCTGTGCTAAGGTACTCAATGTTGAGCTTCTGTTTCTTGGGGGTGGAAAATATTAATATGGCTGAAGAACGTCACATATGAGTCAACATTATTGTCATGTGAAAGTCTTTCCTTTCAATTGTTTGTTTACCAATTGTGTATACTTTAATTCCCATTTTGGTAAAATACAAAAGAGCAGAGCAGAAAATTTTCAGAAAAGTATAGCCAAAACATTTTTGCTACAAATACACCCACTTTGGGAATAACAAAGTAATCCTCAGAGAAATAAATTAATGACAAATCGCAGCTGGCCTTCTAATACAGTGCTGAATCAGTGTCTTCAGTAAACCCTAGTACACTTGATTTTTGTTTTTGTGTACCAAACTTTCATAACCTCAGGTGGGTTCTCAGGAAATGTCTTTGGGTCTGTATGAGAATAAGATGTCTATAGAATTGCATTGATTTATCCTTAGGAACTGGAAAAGGGGCTTGCTTTTGCAGATTCTTCATAGCCTGTTCAGAGGGCCATTTTATCTAGTAATGGACTTAAGTCAAACTGATTTGGAACACTTAAATTTGTTCAGCCTCTTATCTCACTGTCACTTCCACCCACAGCAAGGTAGATGTCAGGACTTTTCCTACCTGTTTGTAAATGACATTTTTTTCTTTTAAGTGCTGCCTCTTTTTTCATTTTGACAATTATTTATTTGTGGAGAGGAAGCTTAAAATTAGTGTGATACATCCTCAGCTTCTTGGCATGGTGAGACTGGTCCCATTCACCTCCAAGCTTGAGGCTTCCTGAACTACAGCGAAGTTGGCATATTCAAAGGCTAAGGAGGGCATGAAATCTTAAAAGAGTTTTTGTGGGCTTTATCTACAAAATGAGGATTTTCCCCCTGATATTATCATAAAAGTAATATTGACCCTGTATAAAAATTTCAAAATGTGCAGAGAGTTAGATTTGATCAGTACAAACTGATCATTCATGGGAGGGTCCCATTGAATCCCCCTAATATGTGCAATTAATAGATGTTAATATAAAAAAAAGAAAGAAAGAAACTAGAGAAAATGAAATTTAACAGTCACAACCTTGAGAGACTACCACCACTAAAAGTTTGTGATAATTAGTTTTTGGAAATTTGTGATCAAAACTTTAATAGCTTTAATAGCATCTTTGGTTCATGTTATCAACCGAATAAACAACAAAATAAACAGTATCTTATAAATGTTTCTGTTATGCCCACTCCATGAAACAAACGTCTGTCAAAGATCTCTCTCTCCCTGCAGTTGCCCAATCCTTTGAATGTGCTTATGCTGACACACTTTAATGTAATCAAGTTTATTTCCAGAGGAAAAATGTTTAAAGAAGATAGGCCAAGAATACATCTTGGTTGAGTTAGCAGAGATTTCTATTGTGGTGTCCCCCCAAATGTGACTCAACATTGCTTAGAAAGAGTTCAACTTAACCTGATAAAGAGGTACTCAGTGAATGCAGTACACCATAGAATAGGATAGAACAGAGAACTGATTCTGATCATGCAAACCACTATAAGCAAACACCTATTAAGTTATGTTTTAGTTAAAAGTGAGGTATTTGATGTGATTATATGTATCCTTGTCCTTTTTTTCTGTAAACAATAAAACATGTTGGGTGAATAAAATATATTTGTAAGGCAGGGATATATTTCTTACTGTTTAACAATGATCTGATGAAGACATATTCTCTACAATCTTCTTAGGAGAATCTTCCACAGTCATAAAACTATGTGAGCATCATTTCTCTCTACTGTACTTTTGAATTTTAACAGTGCCTGCTGGAAAAATTAAATGATATTCCATTTTAACGATGCTTTAGTTAACATAAAATGTATTAAGATATGGGGGTAACAGTGACTATTTAACATTTAATTTCCAGAAATGAATACCAACTATTAACAGTATCAGTGTTGCCAGGAATGGGAACTCATTGTGCATTCTTTTAATCTGGCATTACTGTTCCACTCTTCATCTTTTTTCATAATAAAAATTGAAGATTTATTTAATACTGAGATCTACGGCTTCAGGGTGTATCAGAAAGTCTACACAGCAGCCCCTGCTTACACATGCAATAGTTACATTGTGAATCAACGTCATTCTCACCTACATTAATGCCTGCACACATGAAATTTATATTTAGTGTGAATTTTTAGAGGAAACTGAAAAAATTTTATCTTTTTTTTTTTAGTTAGTATTTTCAACTCAGTACATTTCCCCAAAGCCAGCAGGGTATACCTAATGATGGTATGAATCATATGCCCTTATTTGAAATATAGAAGCTTTATGAAAATCCAAAGGTCTTCTTAAAGGAGCTATTAAAGTTTTGATCACAAATTGCCAAAAACTAATTATCTGTGCTGTGTTTGAAAGAATTAGAGATGCCTTAATACAGCATTGATACAAGTAAAATCCCATGAAAGGAAAACCTACAAGCTTTGTCCTGAGAAAGGCTAAGAAGTTGCTGCCTTGATGTACTATATTCAAGTGTTTCTAAAGCACAGGTTGATCGCAGTTTTCCAATTTGTCTTCTGGTAGTAGTCTCGGTATTATTTGTTTGTGCAGATGAAGGCAGTGAAGTGGAAAGTGAAATGGATGAAGAACTGGATGACTCTTCAGAGCCTCAAGCCAAAAGAGAGAAAACAGAGCTGAGCCAGGCGTTCCCAGTGGGCTGCATGCAGCCTGTTCTCGAGAGCAGTGTGCAACCAAGCCTCCTGAATCCAATCCACAGTGAGCACATCGTCACAAGTACTCAGACTATCAGGCAGTGCAGCGCCACAGGAAACACCTACACTGCAGTCTAAAGAATATTAAAGTGTATTTTTCCAGCTTACATTAACCCTGTTGATATTGGGCTTAAGTTGAAAATTTAATAAGCCTGAAGGTCGACTGTTGTCAAATTCTCTCTGTGCTGAACATTACCTTTTTGGAGTTGTGAAATGGAATGGGTGTATGTATTTTGCCAGGTCTTTTTTTTTTTTTTTAACCAAATTATTTGTCTCTTAATAATAAGAGTTTTTTTTCTCTTAGTTTCAGATGTCAAGAAGGATTTTTACAACACTTAATGTCAATGTTTTTGTTTTCTTATAATTAAAAAGTAATTTACATTTTTTGTAGCTTAAATATTTTATTGTTGATTGTTAGTCTTGGTGTATGATTTCATGTGTAAGTTTTTTAATTAGATGCACTTCTGTGAAATATCAAAAGAAATGAATTTCTTTGATTTACACTGGAGGCATGCCCATTTGGCAGCAGATGCATCAAATTTGCTTTTGAAAGGTGCTTTTTATTGGACAGAACCATAAGACACTATTTTGATAACATTTTGGAGTACAGAAAGAGAATACAGAGCATTTTTATTATAGTGCTAGAGGGTTGGGAAGGTCATCTATTTTTCTCTGAAGAAAAATTGAGCTGTGCATTTATCAGTTCAGAGTAAATGACAGAATTGCAAGAGATTATGCTAATATGTACATAATTTATGTACATAATTATTAGACCATATTAACAATGCAAGTTTCCATGAGACATTGAATTTTAACCATTATTTGCACCCCAGTCCTCTGTTTAAAGACTACTGATTCTGTATTTGGGGCCACTACATAAGTGTGTTCTGCTGTTAAGTGGGGCTGTGATAGTTAGATACTGACGCTGATAAAATGACTTGACTTTTTTTTTTTTAAGTGTACATGCTACTTATGCTGAGCTGGACATACAGGAAACCATTCCATTTGGATGACTTTCTTTTATTCCAGGTCTTTTTTCTAATAGTAGTTCAATATGCTGCTATTATAAAAGAAAATTTATAGAATGCAAGGAATGTAGCAACCTGCATATCGTTATTTCCTTCAAAAATACTTCCTGGTTTCTAAAGTATGTGGATTTAAATTTTAAACAGAACCTGAAGGCAGTGTAACTGGCACACCTCACCGTTACTTATCCCCAATTCTGTAGGATTTGGATAGGTGGCTGGATGGATCATTGCCATTGAAGAATGTACATCAGGGATCATCGTACCTCGGCTATTACATGGTGCCTTAAAACAGAACTGAAGCTAAGGTTTAGTAAGGTTTATTTTGTTCATGTGAATAACTCTTCAATCCATTTGACAAAGTGTGCCTGTCATTTTCAGATTCCTGAAGTAAGGACAGGTTACATGTTCTTCAAAGGAAATTTAGAGAAAATGAAGCAAAACAAAAAGACAAAAATCAGTTTCCCTCTGAGTGACCGTGAACCTATTTTTTATTCTTAGAGTTGACTATTACTTGATTACAGATCAGATTGCTTAAGGGTATGGAATCGCAGGCTAGTTTTAATACCAACTTGTTACATAAAATCATATGTTTCTGACCATTCTTACTTAGTTACAATTCTAGAAAGTTACAAAATAAGCAGGTACTTATTGAAGTGCATCTTTTCAGTCTAAATGTTTGTCCGTGTGTCTAGGTGTCTGTGTGTTCACATGCACACGAGTGCCCATGGGGCAGGAGTCTGCTACAAAGTCAGAAGGTGAGTTCCTAGAGAGCATGCACCCATCCCCATTTTAATTTTCATGAAAAGCCAAGGTTCTTTTAAGCACTCAAATTATTACCAGCAACAGAAAAGGCACATCCTTTCATTTTAAATAGTTACAAAATACTAATCAGCAAACACTGATAAATAACTAATTAAATAAAGCCAAAAGAAAAAGGAAAGCACAAAATTATTTAAAGATTACAAATGAAAACTATATTGTATTGGGGAGAGGGGGGGTTGGGAAGAAGAGGGTGAGCCAATCTATAAAGTTAAACATACCAAATGGCTTCTCAGGTAACATACAGTGTATTTGAGCTGTTGTTGCTTGATTGCCTCAGACTATTTTAAGTTCAACTGTGTTTCTTAAGCAAATTTTCAATATAATTTTTTAAATTGATTCAAATTTTGTATTTTACAACATAATTATATATTTGAAAGTCTTCACTAGCACCCTAGCATCACCTTCATCTAAACATCATTCAAATGATCATCCCCCTTTTTCCTCCCCAAAAGGCAATGAATATGCATCTTACACACACACTTGAACAAACACACACACACACACACATACACACATGTAGTAGAAAAAAGAAGTCATAAGTTTCTAAAAACTATATATCTCTTTTATTGTGTATTAGGATATTTACACATAAAATTAAAATCAAAAAAGGAAAAAACACTCTTCATTTTGGCTCTCCTTTCTGAGTTTTTTCAGTTTCCTGTCCTTACCCACTATCCCCTGAATGGTATTACATTTGTATTGGACCAAATGTATTTACTGGTTTCATCTTGTTTATTGAATGACTTTAAATGTATTTATTATCATTGTTCTTTTAATTTAATGTTGGATATATTTGTATCACTAGAGGATTCTGATAATAATGGACAAATTTAGATTCATGAGACTTGGGGGATTGGGGACCCTCCAGGATTCAACATTTCTTCCAATTGTTCATGGTTTGTTCTAAATTAGAGCAGATTAGAAATTGATAAATATCACTGTATTTGAAATTGACTCAATAAAAATGTTCTGATCTCCTTTAGGAATACTTAGAAATATTAATCCTTCATAGATTGTTGTGATCAATACACAAAAGACACCTACCTATGGTTCACTCTACTTCCAGTTATTTGTAGTCCACAGTACAACATGCTTAATTTTCATTAATGTTGAATTTAAAATGTTTTAGAAAATTAAAACTATAATTTATATATTAGAGCCAATTGGAGCAATCACATTTGTTGTAATTATTGAAATTGTTATTTTCATTCATTGGAACTGTGACTTTTCTAAATAATATAAGCCACTAATACCCTCATAATAAATTTATTAACAAGTGATGCAAGTACACATTCTAAGGACTTATTGGTGTTTCTTGGCATTGTAATCATACATAAGTCATGAGATATATGACTTATATATAAGCCATGTGTTATACTTTCAAAGAGGAAGACTATAAGGAAGGTATATTAGTTACTTTGAAGTCTTGGAAAAGATATTTCCATATGACAGGATTGAGTATCATCGCTATAGTGTGATCTTGACATACACTTTGAGGATTACACCAAAGGATTTGCATTTATAAAACCAGTGAACAATAGGATGGAATGGGTGAACCATTGGAACATAGGGCCCAATTCTCAGTTTTTTCTTCGAGTTTGCTGATCACTTTTCAGGATTTTCATCCAAACTATGTTTGGACTGACTGTATAAGTCTTACTGCCTTTTCAGAAACCTGCTTTCCTTTTTGTGCTTTTTCTTGTACTGTATAGCACGGTTCATGCACCTCTCTTTAGATGGTGTACTTTAAAAACAAAAGTAAAATTTCAAAAATGGTTTTCTGCATACCTAAAATTAGTAGTGTGCAACATTGACTGCCTTTGATTTGTAGTAGACAAGTGAAAAGGAACACATTCTTGTAGAATGCTATAAGTCATTCAGGAATGAATATGGTTTCAGTGCCATAATCATGGACCTTTTTACATGAATACCCTGTCTAGAAATACTAAATGCATTTTCAAATTTTAAAAAAAAATCATTCAGATAATATATTTGAGATGTCTAAAATAATGCTGTGCTTGAAACATTAGTGTAAGAGAAAAAAAAAGTTTGTCACTGTGATGTTGGTCCTCCCTGTGTGGACACAAGTAGAAAGTTAAAAACTTGGCAAGTCACCTTTGTGTTCAATATGAGGCAGTGGTTATATATAATAAATTGACTTTGTTATAACCTCTCCCCTTCCCCAAATTCTTTGGAGAAATAACAACTATCTAAAAGTTGAAGTCAAAGCTTTTGTGATCTGTATGAATGTACCAGAACATGGGGGAGGAGGATCAGCATGCAGTGCTCTTGAAAATGGGGCTTGTCACTAGATCAGAGCAGCCTCCATGTGTATGGTTAGAACAAATCAATTTAATGGAATCCTAGTATTTCTGCAAGTTTGGTGATTTTTAAAAACTGGAATAGAAGCATTAATTCAGTGCTTAGTTCTAGTATTAGAAAACCCCTTTGATGTATTGCCTTGTATTAACCCTTTGAGCATTGTAAGATATACAATGGGGGACAAAAGCCTTTCAGATCATTTATTTAGACTTAGACCGGTAAAATATACTCTATATCCAAATGTCTAATTATGCTGTTTTTTTAAAAGGGGGGGTAGGAAGAGAAAGTGTTTCCATGCTGAAACACTTGCATTTTATATACAACTCCTAATTTTCCTTCAAGAGGGCTTGATATATTTATTCCCAAATATTCACTGCCATCTAAGTAAGTGTACTGTTTACAGAAAAAGAAATCAACTTTTCTAGCATCACATCATGACGCTCTAGAAAAGGAGGGCAAATACATGGGCCTGTGTAGACCTATGTCATAACTGATTTCTGCACATTGAAGGTACCTAGATTGCCTTTAAAAGGTATGATAAAGAAAGGGTTACATTTCTTCTTTTTTCCCAAAAGATCTCATTTATTTAGCTTTAGAAAATACAAGTGTAAGTGAAGCCTTAGGAAGAAATGAGTTCAAGTGAATATACAAACTCTGAACTCTCTGGGGGCAGTCAGGCTATTTGGATTTGCATCACTCATAAAATATTGTTTGGGAATTCATACAGGGCATAATTTTATCCATGCTCCAAAACTTTAATACTTTGTCAGAAAAAAAAAAAAAACATGTAGAAATAGAATGGAGAGCAAAGCACTTAATTTTAAGCTCATCTGTCAAAAGACTCTATGACTACTGCTTCTGATATCTAAGTATCAGTCTGCTTACATCATTACTGATTGGTTCAAGGGAATCTCTTTGCGCACTTGCTCCCCTTTGTCCCCAGCGTGATCAAACACGAGAGCAGTGTTGTCTGCAGATGTGCTTGCGCGGCCCTAGCTGGGCGCAAGTAAGAGTGTAACCTATTCTGATGTCTGGTGAAAAGACATCCATAGCATAGTGCAAGTATGCCGTAAACGTTGCTTTTTAGGCAGTTTAGGAAGTTACACCATGCAAATTACTCGTGTGTTAACATGCAATACTCAAAGGGTTTTAATTTAACTCTCTTCTTTTGAATTCTTCATGATGATTTACTGTAAATGCTTCTCAGTTTGCATGCCTTGATCATTGCTGCTAGTGATTTTATGTGCCAGTAGACCTGAGTTTAGTTTACCAATTTTACTTAATTAAATAGTAAAAGCCACTTACAAA